AAGCTAGGGGCTTTTCCCAGGATTTTTGCAAAATCATTCTCTCTTGGCTCCATTGCAATAAATACAGCATACTCATTAATGGTCAATCCAGAGGCTTCTTTAGTGTGGGGCGTGGGATAAAACAGAGTGACCCCTTATCCCCTACTATTTTCATTTTAATATTTGATTATCTTTCTCGCCTTTTAAATAACCTTTTTAGGAGCAACCCCACTTTGCAATACGCTCATAAATCTAATATGTTGGTAACACATTTAGCGTATTTTGATGATATGATATTGTTCTCCAATGCTAGCAAAAAAGCGATGAGGGATATTCACAATTTAATGGTGGATTTCTAATCTGTATCTGGTCTCCTATTTAATTTCAATAAATGCAACTTATACATGGGAAATTTGGTCAATCGCTTTAATGCATGTTGGATTGTCAATTTAACAAGATTCTCTATATCTACCCTTCCTCTTAAATATCTGGGGGACTTCTTACTTAAAGGGAGGAAGAGACGAATTCAGTTTGATGAGATGGTGGAAAAGGTGCGGAAAAAAATCTCAAATTGGAAAAATAATTTCCTCTCTTTTGGAGGTAGAATTATGTTGCTCAGAGTATTTTACATTCTCTCCCTTTATACACTCTTCAAGTTTTCCAACTCAAGAAAAGTACTCTTTTGAGCCTTGAAAGATGTTTTAATAAGTTTTTTATGGGTGGGGAATCATTCTGGTAGAAGACGAATGCCTTGGAAGAATATTTACAAACCACTTTATGCTGGTGGTTTGGACTTCAAATCTCTGCACCATATTGTTGATATTAATATTTTTAAACAATGGTTCAATTTTCGGAAAGGTGATTCCTTGTGAGCCATTTTCATGAATGGGAAATATTGCCACTACTCTCATCCGGCATTGATCAATTGGAGGTTGGGGGATTCCACTATGTGGAAGAGAATGCTTCATATTAGAGATTAGATAAAGGGTTTCATTTATTGGGAGGTGGGGAGTAGAAACATTTCCTTTTGGCATGATTGTTGGTCCTATGTTATGCTTAAAATGAGGGATATTAGAACTTCAAGTCTTATGGTTTCTGACACTTGGGTGGATGGTCATTGGAATTTTCCTTATCTCCTTAATCTTCTCGATTTTGAGGGAGCTACTTTTATCTCAACTATTCCTATTGAGCCTCATTTGCAAGATACTCCTATTTTGAAACTTCCAATGTCATGCTCCACTGCCAAATTTTTATATTCCGCTTTACATAATTTTCAAAAGCTCCTTTGGGGAGAGGGGGTGTGGAGTTGGGCTTTAACTCCCTCTGTCTTTCCTGGCTTGGCATATTTTTTATTTTGTTATTCATTGTGATGATATCTTAAAAATGAGACTTGCTTCACGTTGTTGTCTGTGTAACTCGGCGGAGGAGACTGTTGATCATATTTTCTTTTATTGTCCCTTTTCAATTTACATTTGGAGGAAGGTTGGCATGTGGTTTGGTACTATTGTGAATCCGGAGCAGAATCTCTTGCTTACCATTATGATTTGCAATCCGGATCGAAAACAGAAACATTTGTTGCAAGTCTACCCGTATATTATATGATTGTTTATTTGGATGGCTCGTAATGATATTATACATGAGGGTAAAGCTATTCAGAATAGAATGATCTTTACTAATATTATTGCCTATATTAATAAACTTTGAAGAACGGGTAATGTTAAACAAAGCTTCTTTTCAGGCATTAATTATTTTTTGGCATGGCTATGGGGTCTGCGGTTATGGCTGAGAGGAGATCTCCTCTTCTTCCTGTTTTGGTGAGATGGAGACCACCTCCAGGGGTTGGATAAAGTTTAATACTGATGGGAGTTGGAAATCTAGCAGTGCAGGTTGCAGGGGTATTGCTAGAAATTGTGCAGGGAACTGTATTCTCTTCTTTCCTTCCCGCATCTTACACTAATACTCCTTTAGAGGCGGAGGCTCGGGCTATTTTGATGGCTGTCTTGATAGCACACTCTCTTAGATGTCAATTTATTTTATTTGAATTTGATAATTGCATC